AGAGAGAGAGAGAGAGAGAGACAGAGAGAGACAGAGAGGACAGAGAAAATTTGGCGGTGGAAGAAAATTCATTTCCCTGTGTCAGTGGATTGTCCACAGTTGGTTTTTTTCCTTCAGTGTTTGTTTCCTGTCATTTTATCAAGGAAAAGGGTGAGACCACTGGCGTCAATCCGAGGGCAGTCTTAACATTGTTTTTGACAGAAATGTTAGAAACAAAAACAAGCTTTGACATGGGAGTTGTTAGATGTGCGCTTTCAATGATAGTGCACAACACCCAGATTTAAGCACTGCATTCCTCGACCAAGGCTATACACAATCTATAGAATTTGTTATTTTAGGTAATAAAACGTCTTTAAAAATCTGCTAATATATATAGTTAAAGACAATCAACTCAATTTGGTACATGCACCCAAAATGTTCCAAGTTGAAATGTTGCAAAGGAATGCCCTATATTGCAATCTTAAGAAATATTTAAAAGTGAGTCTGTGTAACATTTGTAGAACAGCGCCCTATGTGCAAACAAGTGACATTTACCAGATAATAGTACATGCTGAAATGTAGTGTTTACGTATAGCAAAGTCACCGTTAGCAGACTGCCTCAGTATATACAATAATACATGTATTACTGCTAATGTTGTATTACTGCCTCAATAATACAACAATATCTATCTAAAGTTAGCTAGTATTAGCTAATATTAGCCACCATGAGCTACTGGTCGTACCAGACCAAGTATGGCTGTTGAATAGGATGTTTTATTTGCTCATAAGTAAATTCATTTTTCTTTTTTAATTTGTAAGGAGAAAAGTTTGTTGTTTCTTCTTTCAAAAGTTACAGTCTGGCTTCAAACTATTCTTGGAATCACACCACACACTGATTATATGGTCTCCTTGGCCACAGACAAACAGTCAAGCTGGACCAAAAACATACTGTGTGCTTCTTGTCAGCAGTAACGAATGAATGAATCTCTTATAATACCATGTACACTTCTCTGCATGGTTGCAGGGTTAAGTGTTTGCTGGGCTGTGGTCCAGAGAGCTGATGCGTGTCTCAGCCTGCTGAGCTGTTTGCACCCTCTGAAAAAAAAAAAAAAAAAAAAAAGAAGCATGGTGCTGGGTGTGTGTGTGGCATCCTCCCTCCCATCCATACTGTCACCTCAGCAGTGCTTGGCATCGCTACCACCATCCTCCTCCAGCACCGCACAGACACAATCCCTCCACACACAGACAAAAGACACAGAAGGTATGTGCAACACATATGTTAGGATACTTTCAATTAAAATACTCTCCTCCCAGACTTTCCTCCACCTGAATACTGAAATTCTTAATTCTAATTTCGATAGAACAACAACAGCTCAAAGCAGTCGTATATATGCTTCCGACTTCCATAACCAGCCAGAACATAGGAGGGACTTCTGAGCCACTTCCTCAGAGGCAGTTGAAAAGGCTTCCTAAATTTGTTTCTCTGCTCCTAGGGTTCCATCCACCTCACTAGTGAATTATACCCTCTTGTTTACCATTTTCCTCACACAAGAGAACAAAAACAGCTCAAAGCAAAAGGAGAAGCAGCGTATAATAAGAGTGGAGCAGCGGGAGCCCCGGCAGTGTCATGTCTGTGTCCTGGTAGCTCAGAGATTGTGCTGGCTGCAGAGGGGAAAGAACAAGTGTGGAAATGAGGTCTGTGGGTTTGTGTGTGCTGGTTGCAGAAGGTTTTAGAGACAAGTCAGGATCGCGCAGCTGACTAAAGAAGTAATAGTAATCATAGATGCTTGAAGTATCAATTTCTTACAGGAGGTTATCATCACATGGTTATTTAATTCCATCACCAATCAGTTTCCCCCTTTTATTTCTCAAGAATTGGCTTCAAAGTTGGAGATAATCATCTGATTCCATACTGCCTGATATCATATCGGCCTAAAGCGTCTCTGTATCAGCATAATCCAAATAGTTGTTCACGCTATATGATGTCTACACTGAGTGAAATATTCTAACTTTTATACACATTTCCCAAATTTCAGCCTGACATATTTTGCATCGTTGGAAACATTGAGCTTGAGACTAAAATGGCAGATAAAGTTCTATGGGTGTGAAGAATCAATGTTTGGCTGCACAGCACAAGTTTGTAATAAAGACTGACCCACCGGTGACTCAGTGGGGTTTAAGACGTTAAAGAATATATTGGTTTGTAAAGCTTGTGTGGCTAGCACGGAAGTAACTGATCATTATTTTCATGATCCATTAACCTTCGTAAAATGTCGGAAGAAAAAGTAAAACAAACACAATTTTCCATAACCCATGGTGACATCTTAACCAGCCTGTGACATATATGCTCCACGAATGACTAAAACAATGAATTGATTACAAAAAATGTTGTTCGTGCCACTCCTATTGAAATGTAATCCGCGTACTTTTAGTAAGTTAACTTAATAATACAACGTATCACAAAACCTAGTAATACTTGTAACAGATGATGTGACATCTTCTGTTCCTTTTCTTTCAAGGCTGAATGAAGCTTGACAGAATGAGGAACCACAAAGGTAAATTACTTTAGTAAAGGACCTGCTTGTAGATTTCAAGCATTTTCTCATTCTTTGACTCATTCCCTTTTAACCAACTGCTGCACTGATTTCTGGTGTTGGTGGGACTTTCTTTTTCCACTGCCCACTATTTTCTCATCACTCCCAGCCTCTCTCACCATCTCCTTTTATCTGCATATCTTCCCCTCTCTCGTCAATTGTTAAAATCCTCCCATATGCTAAGCTCTGTCAGAGCAGGTGGCAAACCACAGGTGGACCCCACACCTCCGCTCGGACTGGCCTCCATTCGCGCACCCAAATTTATGTTGCCACTGGGCCCACTAGGCAGGGGTGAGAGGGTGGCCAGGAAGTTCTCACTCAGTTCGATGACCAAGTGGTTTGGCTCTTTAGTGGCCTTGAAGGACACATATCCTTTTGTTGTCTAGCTTTTGTCCCCTCTTCCCACTCTTTGTTTAATATCAGTGTTTTTTTAAAGAATGGATTACATTTTGTGGTATAGCAATTTCACTAATCACATTTGAGCACATTAGTGATTTATTGAATAAGAGGAATTAAGTGGGATCACAAATAGAGCATGCAAGGGCTGTCTTTAAGAAGTGAATGGTGTCGGTTAAATGAAATTCAGAGATTTATTCCTCTGAAAACAAATGATGAAAAGCATTGTGCCAGTTCTCTGGGATATTGGTGACATTTAACAATACATTCAGAGTTAGTGACCTGGGACATTTCCAGAATGTGCAAGTATTAGATCCTATTATAGTTTACATTTAATGGTTAGGAAACATATAAAGACAAAAAAAATGTTTTCAAATAGCTTTACAGTGCCAGCGTGTGAGTACACACTGCCTGAGGCTAATCATTGTGTGCAATTCAGAAAACATGGACTCAATGCCCTCAGTCATTTCCACAGAATGTGCTGGACAGTTCTCAGAAATGTACAGTTCATGTTCAGGGTGTTTTCATTCAATATTCAATCAAACTTGAACAACAGTATGAGTATAAATGACTGAGATGTGAGTATCTTTTATCCCTTTGGCAATCCATGTACATGTTTGTCATCAAAAGGTTCCCTCCAACACTGAAGAACTTGTACGGATTGCTAGCTGGGTGCACTTCAACAGGAGAAACATGCTGATGGGGTGGAAGGTGTGACAGTACTGCAAAGCTTTACAAATGGATAAAAGAACCCCTCTGTGGATGTGTCGAGGATGTGCTGAGAATAAAAGGAGAGAAGAGGACAGGGTCAGATGAGACAACTCCATGGCGTCTTGGCGAATTAATCACCTCCAGCATCTTCGTGATAGTTACTTTAATATACACCTCTCATCTCTCTTTCTTCCTTTTATTGAGGCATAATTTCTGCAAAGGCACAAAACACTGTAACACGAGTCTGTGTGTTATCTTAGTTATACTTGAGCACAGCTGCCATCTCTCTTGAATAGGCTTATTCTATTTGTTCCACTGTGTCTCTTTTTCTCTCTTTTGGGAATAAATGTCTGCCCTTGGGGTACAGAACTCTTTGTGGCTATTAGAAAGATGTGTGTGTACCTCCATACCTGGCGAGTGATTTTCTTTCACCTTGTCACATTAAAATGATTACTATTCAACCGTCAATTAAAATATTCTACTCAAAGGTCAATATATTTATCTGACACCATCAACACCATCAGAATGGATCCCTACAACTCCAGCCTTCTGGGGAATGTGTACTGTTTGAATGTGGTGTCTTACATGGTGGTGTGACATACATGGCTATTCGTCCTGGCTTCATCTGTCATATTTAGAGAAGGTAATTCTGTGCTGACAGGCAATAGGCAAATAGGCTGTCAGATTTTACAAGCTGCCAGTTAATAGAGCAGAGCATCACTGTCACTTTATACAGTTTTTGGCTTATGGTAGGCGGGAACGTGGTACCACTTTCTAACAAAGCAAACTGTGTAATGGGTTTATGAAATGTAAGTAATGGCTTTAATAAATCATTCACTAATGCTTTCTAGATCCATTCTGAGCCATTGATAAGAATAGCTTTTGGCTTGTCGGGTTGTAGAGAAATCCTTTGGCTTATTGTGTTTATCCTTCTCTAGAATAACATCTGCTTTTTGTTTATGAATAGCTATTAGGAAGAAACTCCAAAGGCTCTTTGACTACTTATCTCAACCAAAATCCATTTATTAACATTCACAGCTGCAGACTGGATGGATTATATACCATCCTTTATTGATGAATTACTAATAAGAAATTATAATAATAATAATAGCTTGAATTTTTCTAGCACCTTTCAAGTGACCCAAGAACGCTTTACATATGTGAAGGTGGAACAGATAACACACAAACATAAAATGCATGTAAAGAGGAGGGGTCTGAGCACAGAGCGTGGGGGATGCCTTGGTTCAGCTTTAAAAGTAGGCCTTTGTTGGTATAATTATAAGTATTAACCTGTCTTTTCACTTTATTTTCTGTTAACAGAAAAATCCACCTATGATGCTTCCGGCTCCTTGTCTTTATCAAGTGACCCCGCTGTCACAGCTGCTCCTGCTCATCCATTGGCTGACCTGTCGGTGGTGGAGGAGGTGCCTTTCTCAGTCGTCCATTCAGATGGTGACTCAGAGTCTGAGGGGGGAGGTTTATCAGGGCAGCCTGCCTTTTCTTCTGTCTTAACCGTCATGGCAGGTACTGTCAAACATCCAGTGAGCCTTGATCAAAGTAGAACCTTGCCAACCATCACCAGGGACAAGACCCACACCACCCAATGGCCTTCACATAGTTCCAGCCACGGCTCAGAGATGTCCTCCTCATCGTTGTCTGTGGAGGACAGGATCAGCCCCGCCAGCTCAGGTCTGACTTCCAGCATGTCTCACCAACACACCACACCCCCTCCAGCTGTTACCATGGCATCGACTGTCTCTGTGCCATCACATGTGTCCTTTATGGATGGAAACAGGAATGGCTCATCATTGACAGTATTATCTTCTTCATTGTCATCCTCAATGTCTTCATCAGCTCCATCCACTTCCTCTGTATTGTCATACGTAGCGTCTCTATTTTCTCTATCGTCTTCTGTTGGGTGGATAAACAAAGGTGCTTCATCTCATGGTCAAAGGATTGTGTCCAGCCCTGCCCCTCGGACATCATCACCAGCAGACTCTCTGGGTTGGACACACAGTCTAACAACCACTCACTCCACTACTCATTCAGGTGTTGACCCACTAACTGTTACACAGGGACAACAAAGCACAACAACTAAACCATCACAGTTCCCAAGTGAAACTAGCATTGAAAAGAGAACTGAAGTGACTCATGAGTCATTATACTCATCAGAAGATAAAATCTATGGAGTGAGTGAAGCATACATAAGGAGTGCAAGCACAAAAGGGATCAAGACACCAGCAACCAGCACATACACATCATACTCTACTCATAACCATGGAGAAAATCTTTTAAAGATTTTACGCAAAACTGCTCAGACCCAGAACCCAGGATTAAACTCTGTATCAGCCAGTAATATTGAAATTAGCACCTCATTTCCCTCCAATCAAGAGAAACAAGCTGTTCAAAGGCAGCAGGGAGCTTTACAAAATCCCACATCAGCACTGCTGTCTGCCCATCCTAAAGGCTATTCAGTTTCTAATCATGTCACACAGCAGATGTTAAATCCAACAGCATATGAGGAAAAGAAAAACAAGACAGCGGAAGACATTCAGACTTTTGTTCACAAAAGCGTTGGAGATACAGTCATGTCGCGTCTGAGTTCACATGTTGTAAATCCAACCGTATCTCCGGCAATGACACTCAGACCCGCTGAGACTCCAGCAGGTAAAACGTCTCCCTCTGAAACTGCAATCACTGAGCTAACTCCAATCCACTCTGGCATGGTTTCCTCAGAGCATTTATCTAATCCCGGTGATTTACTGATGGCAGAGGGTCACGGCAGCCCCAGAGTTCCTGCCATCAATATATATTTCAACCAGGGAGAGATAGCAGCAGCAGAGCTCAAATCCATGTCCACTCAAGCTTACCCAAATAACTCACTTTCACTCATAGGGTCGAGGCCGGAGGCCAAAACTGGTTCCATCCACAGTTCAATCACCAGAACGGGAACAACTTCTTTCCCATCGGAGTCAGATTCACTTCCGTTGCCAAGTAATATAGTCATAAGCGTTCAAGAATTTTCAACACAAACAGAATCTCCCAAGTTCATAACTCAGGAGCCGAGAGGACGGACAACGGCAAGAATTTTATTTGCCTCCAACAGTAGGACAGTGCCTCTTTCTGGTTCAGCATTGCCAGTTAGTTTCACAAAAGATATGACCTATAAAACCATGTACGAAAGTCTCTCACACCCCACCCGGCTTATGTACTTATTGCCGTTGTTCCTCAGCGGCAGCCCAAGCAACACTGATGATAGCACTGGTCTGTCTGCCAATAGTGACGTTCATTTTGCAGACCAACCCAAAGCCTCATTATCATCCCAAATTACCCCTTCCCAAAGACCTTTTCAAACAAGGTCTTTACTTACGTTTTTCCACAAGTTTTATACAACTCGACCTCCCAACAAATCTCATCAGACAGCGTTTTCGGCTGAAATATTTGCTCATATTATAAAATCCGAGAGAGCTAGTCGCGGGACATCTTTGACTTTTGAGGTGGAAACAACTGCAGGGAAGAGTAAACCGTCACCAGCCTTCGATATTCACATGACACATGCAGAGAAGCCTACTAAGAGCTTCCACAGAAATGCTGCAAATAGTTCAGTTTCTCCTTTATTTAATGGAGATGAAGAGTCTGCTGTAATCAGAGACACTTTGTTTTACAAGAAGGGTATTCCATCAAGGCCGTTCACAACAAAGGTTCCATCTTTCATAACTACAAAAGACATTGTCATGTTGAATAAAAGCTCTGAGGGTTTTGACAAAGGATCTCCCACTGAAATAGCTATTTTTCGTGTAACATCTGATGCTGCATTAGAACCTCTTAAAAGTCTTTCTCGTGAAGACGATTTGACACACACAAGCAGTTTTGAGCGGCCTCCTCTTTCCTCGTGGTCTGAAATTACCCTGACACCGAGGACGAACTCTGCTTATCGCTCTCAGGGACCAATCACCACTGTGAGAAGTGATGGATCAAATTTTTATTCAGGCAGACAAAGAACCATTCCCTCCACTGCTTCCTCTGTTGCAAGTACTTCCTTCAGTGATGGACAAAACAGCAGTGGATCTTTTGGTGCTATTTTCAGCTTTGGCACAAAACTAATGGCACCATATACAAAGTGGAAAACCACCAAGACGGTGTCTTTTCAAAGCACAGCCTTTGAATTAGAAAATACATCTATTGGCTTTGATAGGGCAAGTTCTAATTTCCAAGCAGATGGCCCGTTGTATGATCATCCAAAGCTGGAAGACGGACAAGAGGGTAATGTGCATATATTGAATTCAACTGATCAAACTGTAGTTGCCAGTGATCCAAATTCATTCAATCCTGCAGTTCATTCATCTGTTACACATGTTAAAGGAACATCAGATTATAAAAAAGAGAAACTGAATTTGTCCCCAGCTGATCTCAGATCTGCGGTGACTGTCAATGTACAACAAGGAGCCACTGTAAACACTGCATGGGGTTCAGATGGTTTTCTGCCCCTCTCTCATACAACTACTGACTCCGTAAGGTCTTCAAAAGCTTCTTCTCTTGCATCGGTGTATACGAGCAAGCACAGCTCCCCTCTGGCAGATGTTGACTCCCTTGAATATGCTGCTGTCACACTTTCAAACAACCCTGCGCTCAATTTCTCTGGCACTGACAATATCAATAACCCAACTGATTCAATACTGAAGGGGTTAACCCTTCCAACAGAGCTGCGGCCACCATCCTTTTCATTTCACTCATCATCATCAGAGACTTCATCATCATTATCATCATTGTCAGAGATTTCACCACTATCATACAGTAGTAGTTACAAAGCTTCTCAGTCGTCTTCCTTACATACGAATCCTCACACCTCAGTGTCTTACAAAGCTTCATTGACATCGTTGTCAGCATCAATATTGTCAATAAAACCAACCATGCACCCAGGCACTGCATCATCATCATCCGTGTCTGTAAAAGCTACATTTCCATCCTCTTCACCAAGTCTGACCTTATCAATAGATCCTGATCATTCAGAGGAAGTGACTGAGATGTTTGTTGTCCACACAGAGGCGGGGACAGATGAGTTAACCGCTGGAACATCCAGAGCTGTTGCGCACACTTTCCCCAAAGAGAAAGCAACCAGTTTAGCCCCCTCTCAATCAGTCAGAATCACCATTTCTGCTGGGCCCACCGAGAGGACATCTCAGGTATCACCTCTGCACCCTCGACAGGACACCCCGACAGACTCTGTCCAGCTTAACACCACAACTGTAGCTTCAACGACCAAAACTAAACACCCCACCACTACCACGCCTTCCCCAAGAGTCACCACTGGAACCACACAGTCTATCACCACTACCACACCACAGCCTGCACCTGTGACCAGGAGAACGACAACCACCACAACGACTAGGACTCAAACCAGCAGGAGAACGTTCACACCACCATTTCCCAGAACGAACCCTCCCAGGGACACCAGCGGCATCTTTATATCCCCTTTTACCACCACCACAGAGGCTCCACCACAGCAGTGTAACATCACAGAGAGATTGTGGGTGAAAACAGGTAAACAATTCTTCTGACACAGTCCTAGCTAAATGATTTGAATTATAAAATCGTATTATTGCTGTATGTCTTGGTTTCTCCCGTTATTGTCTCTGTCTCTATATCCCTTGTAGTTGTTTCCATTTATGTGAGAAGAAACAGGCTGGACAGCATTCAGAGGCAGAACCTGCGAAGGGGACTAAGTCAGGGCCTCCGGAAGGCTCTGAATGATACGTCTGCTCAAGCACAGGTCAGCCTGTTGTCAGTTACTGTTGATCACTCAAGAAAAATACAGCTTCAGCAAGTAATAGATATACCTTTAACATCCATATATCTAGAGACTCAAACTGTGGAGTCTGAACAAACAGAATGATATACACAGTACATTTAATGTTTCTTACCAAAGCACATTGTATGTATACTTAAGGCCTAGGGAATGTGTTGAATGTATTATCTTACGCTACCAATTGTTGACAGTGGAATATTGTGAAACCATGTGCTCATGCATGTGCATCCCTTTGCGGATGCACGAGACACCAACAAAACTGGCACTGTTAAAACCTCTACAAAAAACTTCACAAATATATAAATTAGTATAGCTGTGAAACGGTAGCAACTCATGTTAAGAAGTGCTCACAAATTCTCTGATGCTGATAATGTCACTAAAGTGACTTTAAGATGAAGGAGGTGTCTTAAAGTAAAGGCAGTTTTCGAGTAGCACTCAGTTTACATACAAATATTGTAATCTTATCATAATTTCTTTATTATCTCTACAGCATCAATACACAAAAACAGATTGAACAGTTTGACCAGTGGCCTACGATCTAAAAAACTACCACTGTTCTTTATAGGTGGAGTTAGAATACAAATGACTGCAATTTATAGCTGCTAATCTGAATACGATGAACAGAACAAACTGTTGCTGGATCCTGGCTGAATAAGCGAGCTGTTTTCTAACACTGGTGAACAGTGAATGGTTCCTAATTGTGCCCTCACCAGAAATCTGGTTTATTAGTGTGGAGTGAATTAGACACTTGTAGCAAGGACCCTCATGTAGGCAATGTGAGAAGAGATGAGGACTAATATAGAAATTAGGTTGACTGAATGTGTCCCTGAAGGCATTGGGTGATGTCACATGTTTGAGTAACTGTACCAGCACTAAAACAAGATGTAGATTAGGACTGTAGCAGAGCTGTACATGAGAACTGTTGCTCCAATTTCCTCACATTCATTTATTCACAAAACAGAGTCATCAGAATCAAGTCACATTTCACCAAAAGGCAATCTTACCACAGCAGTAGACACACTAGATTTTGGTTGAACAAGAAATCAGGAAGTAACCAACCTTAGCATTTTGGAGTGCCTTCTGAGTGTTGTTTTGAGCAAGTGTTGAGTACATCTGTGTGCATGTTTCTGTGTGTGTGTGTGTGCGTGTTGTATATCCACAATCTGGTGAAATGGCTCTGCGTGTTGTATTTCTCAAAGTGGAAGTATCAAATAATTGAGAGTGAGGCCTGTGTATCCGTCCTGCCCATGTGAAGGTCAATGCTCTCATATGCGCTCTCTCTCTCTCTCTCTCTCTCTCTCTCTCTCTCTCTCTCTCTCTCTCTTTTTGTAGTCTCTGAAGGTGTCTTGCTTCAATGCACTCCTGTCACCCATTTCAACATTGCTTGGGTTCCTTTTAGTAGCACTGCTCTCTCATCCAATGGGAAGCAAGCTGTCGGCAAGGGAAATTGCTTCTGTGTTTAATTATAGGTTATAAATGGTTGGGATGAGAGCGATGTGCTGTGCTGATGATAAAAAGATGATGAGGAATAGACTAAATGAATTGAACCACAAGGCTAAAACCATTTTGAACCTTCAATAAATATATAAAAGTAAACTATTTTTGTGGCTTGCACGTATAAGGCTCTCCAGTGACTTGAAACTTTTAGAAAACTGACTCGATCTGTCGGGTTAATCTGTTGGCAGTCTTTCACACTCTTTAAGATAGAGTAAGTGGGAGTGTTACCAATCTCTGGCTTTGCTGGAAATGCAATCTCTTAATAACACCTTCACATGGGTGAAGCCTGAGAGGATGAAGTGATAATAAAGGGCTCTTTTCACAGAGCTCTTAACAAGGCTGAATTGTGAGGAGGCAGAGTGGTGATTCTCAGCTACAGAGAAGATAGGCCCTCAGTGTTTTAGCCAGTGGATCTCTTTGTCAGCGCAGGCTTTCAGATGGGTTCAGATAACAGACCTGCATGGTTTCACCTCACCTACACACACACACACAGACATAGTTTCGCTACATCTGTCATCATCCCTTTTCCGGTTTCCTTATACGTAGAGTTCACCAAAAAAAAAAACTCTTACTGACAAACATGTGCATTTGTTTTGCATTACACACAGTTACAAAACACACACGTTTCACTTGTGTTTCGCAGTGATACCTGGCCTTGGTTAGAAGTGAAGGAACATAAGCTTCTTTGTCCCAAACTCCCTATTTAACAGTCCCTCCCATGTCTCGCTCATCTTTAGTCTCCTCTCTCTCTGTCTCTCTCTCTCTCTCTCTCTCTCTCTCTCTCTCTCTCTCTCTCTCTCCCCCCAGAAGCCCTTCGGCCCCTCCTGGTTATCTCTCCACATATCTGTATTCCATAATCACTCTCTCTCTCTCTCTCCTGTTGCTTTCATTAGCGAGTGGTTAGAATACACTTTAAGTGCTCCATCAATCTAAAACAGTTCAATATCCTGTCATGCAGCTCATTTGCTAATATGACTGATTGACACTACCTTCTGATCCTGCTTTAAGGACCAACACAGGAATGTGTTTTTGGCGATTAACTTTCAATATTTTACATCGCGGTTGGCCATTCTTCCAAAGAATGCGTACAATTTTGGATTAATTTCCTTTATCGCAGCAGACGTTTTCACTTGTCACAGTAAAAAAAAGCACAGGTATTGCTAATGACATTAATGCGCCAGTGAGCCGTGACAGTGATCCAGCATGCACAATTACCTGGATCCTGAAACCGAAGCAACTGAATAAAATTCAGCCATCACTCATTTTATTTCTGTGTTAAGAGATTATAAAGAATCATTCCATGCTTTTGACCACATGTTACCACACAATAGTGGCTTTGACAAAGGAGGTAAAGTAAAGAAAGTAACAGTTTCTCTCTGTTTACTGTTATGGAATACCTGTATATTTGGAAAATGGTTGGCAGTCGGATAGATACTACGAGACAGGATTTGTCAATCGTCAGAGAATTTATCATGTTATAACCACAATCAATCAAACAATATAACACAACAAATCACACTTCTGATCATACCCCTCCCTTAGTGAAGCTGGCTGTGGTAGGAGGTGAAACAGGCTTGAAACTTTCAACCAGTGGGGGTGTTATGATATAAGGTATATTGTTGTTATTGTCAAATTATGAGTGTGACTGATGTTTGTGCTGTTTTACCTCCCTGCCTGAGGGTGGTGCAGTTCGCCCTGTTTCTGTGTCTTCAGTGTGTTGCATTGTAGTTGATTGGACTGGAGATTGTTAGTGCTTGCTTTAAAATGGGACCTGCCGAGTCCGGCACTCACTCTTTCTTCTCCCTGGCTCCCAACCAGTCTGTGCTGCACTGCAGAGTGGGTCGTTGATCCTAGGGTATACTGATCTGGTGTAAAAATGTAAAGTGTAGCCTACAAAGCAGTCCTGGTAACTTTTAATTTTTTTTAATTTTGGTACCCTAGGTAAGATAGCTGTATTCCTAAAGATTGTTTTGTTTATTGTCTTGGGCCATGCTCACCCTGACGCTTGTTCTACCATAACTTGTGAATAAATCAATACTGTGGACTGGACGGTAGTGGCAGCCGAGTTACTCTTTAATATTACCCACTCAGGTATAAGCATTGTACAATTAATGGGCTAACATCGTACATACTACCAATATGGTTCTTTAAAGACATCTAATTCTCTTCTCTACTTTACCCTCTCAGGTGGAGACAGTATTTGGTTCTCCCAACATGACGGTGGCTTATCACGTGACTGGAGGGGACATGGTTTACCCTCCCTCTGTAGTGCTTGAAGGATTGGACTCTTATGGCCGGGATAAGCTGATTTCAGACCTGCGACAGTACCTCCCGATGGTAACAGCCCTGCCCCTCCCAGTTGCATTATGGAGATCCAGCCCAGCCACTGGCTTCCAGCTGAAAACAGGTCAGCTAGTGTTCAGTCAGGATGAAAGAAAGAAATCGGTCAGAGATGAGCTTGAGACATGCTGTTATGTGTCCCTGCTGTGATTGTGCACTGGGGCAATTTCAGTGGAAACTAGGTTTGAGAAGTAGTACAATAAAATAAATCTTGTGATACTACATCGGAGGAGGAAATAACAATATTGCACGTGTACTCAGAATTTAGGTACATAAGACCTAAAATGATGTGTGTCATATTCCCAGTCTTCCCAATAAATACACACTACCAAAGGCAGCAAAAAAAACACAATGCTTTAGCATCCTGAAGAATTCTTTAAAAAATGTCATTAATAGTTTTGCCAGTGTACAGTTTTGTGAGCTCATTTTGTTTTTATGCTCTAGTGCTACAGTTTGTGGGAGCCGGCGATGATCCTCGGTCCTGTCGGTTCTCTCAAATGATGGAACAGAGGCTTGAGAGGGTGTTTTCTGAAGCACAGGCCAAAGTGCTCAACACCAACAACAGACTCTCTGTTCAGGTACTGTTGTGTAATAGCCGTGTAGCACTGTGCATATGTTTGCTTACTGTTACAGTGGTAAAGCTGTGATTTGTAACATAAGGCCAGTGTTGACATGTGTGTGGCGTTATGGTGTTCATTATACCTAAATGGATAAAAACAATCCGAATCTGACTTTGATATAGATCTGATGTTACCTCTTTTATGGACAATGACGTGTATACAGAACCATCCAGCAACACAACGAGAAGTTAAACTAGATGGTGAATACTAGAGTTTGCTAAATAGTGTTTATATTATTTGAATATATGTAAGTTCAACAGTTTTGTCCTCTATTACACATCAATATTACCACGTGGTTTAGGTGATTTGGCAGCTACAAACACATGCAAATTGTGTGCAATTTATGCAAAGTCGTCCCCCTCAGGCTTTGCCTTTTAAACAAGAGCAGCTTCTGAGATGCAAATTAATTATGTTTAAGGAGTCAATGTTTGTATTCATTTTAATGAGCTGCAACATTAAAGTGCACCATATTTTAAAGCTTATTTGATGATTATGCATGGTTGAAAAAATTCCAAACACTCCAATATTTTTGCACTCTTTAATGCCTTGCCAATTTCTCAGCCATTGTGTTTCTTGATGATTTTCATATTTGTTGAGCCAAGACAACAACCGTTTTTTGTCATCTCCATTATTTCATTTTGTTTTACAGGATTTGTGCTAATCCCAATGTAGTGTAATGCAATCCCAAGCATTTTATATGTTTGTACCTATGTTTTTCTGTCTCCTCTTCTGACTCTGAGCCTGTACTCTTCCTTCCCTCCCAGATGATGAGTGTCTCCCAGGCAGCCGGTTCTCCTGCTGTGTCATTGGTCTACACTGTGAGGAATGGGACTGTCTTTCTTAATGGCACCACTGCCTCAAATCTCCTTGGTCAGCTGTCAGCTGAGCTGGTGGGCTACTTCCTCTTCTATCCACCGCTTATGATTGCTGAGCGTAAGTTACAATTTGTGTTCAAAAATACGTCTGTTAGTCAGGAGTAATTCAACAACCACACAAGAAGAGACACCAGAAGTAGTTCTTGTGTTCTCTTGGGAATGATTTGTTCTCCAAATACAAACTAGATTTAACATTAAAAAACCAAGTGCTGTGCTTTTACTTGTTTTTCTATATGTTGAAACCTTCAAGAGGTCTAAACTTTTCAGCCTGTGTCTCACAAAGCATGCTGGTTTCATATCTTTGGTTTTAGACCTTTGGGCAAAGGAACTGATACTATATATTGATTGATTAATTGACACTAGTAGAAATCAAGACTGAATCCAACCTGAGGAACTGCAGTTGATATAATGTAGTGAAGGTAGTTGTTTTCTGAGCATTGTTTTGTATTTACATGGACCGGTTTATCTCAGATATCTATCTAGACAATGGTAGAACTCAGGAATTCAATCGCTAAGCCTGACTGACATCCAGTTCCTCAGTAATTGGATGTTAGGGACTGTTCTTCTGCTTTTACGATCACTGGGTTTTTTTAATGATTGAGTCACTTAAAGATAGTTAGATGCAAGGACACAACTAAGCCCATGCCTTTCATCTTAGCCTCCTTTGAGGGCATACTCAGCCAAGCCCTCCATCTTTGTTAGAGTTGTGCTCAGAGAAAACCAAATGAAGAGTGACAGGGAAACAGCGGGAGTCTAAACAGCAATCTCAGTCCCAATGTGTAGCTTGTCTCTAATGTAAACTGCTCAACAGAGAGAGATGTAGAACTCTGAGATATAACTGAGACGTCACTTTTATGGTACTTCATTGATCCCTGAAGCAGAGATTCAACGTGTGCTTGACTTACGTTTACAGTAAATTCAGAAATATAGGTTCAGCAAAATAACACGGCACCTACAGCTGATATAGGCATTTAAGCTCCTTTAACACACACAATTTCACACTTGAGTATACAGCAACCCAGCAACGCAGTTTTTATCTTCAAGTCTATTTTCTTCAGATTTACACTTCTTACTACTGTGATTTTATTTTGGACTGCCAAAATGTAGATGACCTACACATACTGTGTAGACACTGACAGAGGACCGATCTGCTGCTCACATTTCTCCTCCTGTGTAGACACGGTGTTACAGGTTATCAAAGTTCGAGGATCATTTATTGTTATTCTGCAACACAGGTTTGTCCAACAACAACATCAGCAACAGCAGCATCTTAACATTAAACATTTGACATCTGGGAAACATTGTCCATCAACTTTGACTATGCTTGAACACCAAGCATCATTGATGTAAACACAGAGTCTGCCTCCTCTCGTCCCACCAGAGTCCTGCACTCTGACTTGCCCGTCAAGTGCAGCCTGAACTGGTGCGCAACGATGGCGTCAGGTCTCTGTAAAGATGCGGGCACAGCGGTTTCTCGTTGCTGGTTTGGCCTGAAGTCGTATTTCATCCATCATATTTTCCTGCGACCAGACATCAGCCAGAAGTAGGCTGGGTAGTAGAATAGCCTTAGGTCCAAGGGTTAGCTTAGCTCCCATCCCGTCTCTACTCCCTTTACTCCTTGGACGACTCCTTTTTAGGTGGCGTTTGGTCCGGCTGGGTGATTGAAAGATGCCGTAGGCGATTGGCTCAAGGTCCGCTGCACTAAATCCAATCCCCATGCTGCCTTTACCAATGTTCAAGGTATCTCTGTAATATGCCATACAAGCTCCAGTATTAAAAGAGGAAAATATAACAAATTACAAGTTTGAGGGAGCTACCGGCCACCACATCTACATGCAGCAGTTGGTATCGCAAGTCAGCCAAAGTTCAGGTTACTACAGCTGAGGCTGATGGAAATGTCATTAGTTCTCCAGACAAACATCTCAGGTAAATCCATAACCATCACAGACTCATATATATGTGCAAAAGGAGCCTCAGTGTCTTACGTTATGTAATCTCTGCCTTACCAAGCATAAGGAGGTGTGGTGAAAATCTATATAAAGACATATTGGTTCAAGCAGACTTTGGAAATCCAGGGGCAGGCTCTGGAATGGCCCATGACTGGAAATTACACCTCTGGTTATGCCTCTCTTCAAGCCGGAATAAGTCTCACTTGCTTAATTTTAATGGTTTCTAACCAGATGCAGTGACTACATTTCTCCAGACTTTGATCAGTTTAACAAGACAGAGCTTTTGCTATGCAACATCATGCTCAGGATCATAGCAGAGCTGATGCTTGAGTCAGGAATTAAGTCAGGGGCTTCCCTGTATTACCATCTAGCTGTGTCCGATCAAAGCTCTTTTTTTTAAACTTTCTTGTTCAACTTTGCTGAGGCCCAGTGGGTAAATGGGCTATAGATCTTCTCTGACTTCCAAGAGTGTATCTGGCTGGGCCATATTTAGCAGAATTTAGAACCAAAATGTAATGTTCAGTCATGTGCTGTTAGTATTGGAGTATGTTAGATAATGTCTGTATCTGGGAAGACACACACTGTTTTCCAATTCAGGGGCTGTACTGTGCTTCCCTCCTAAAGTAGACGTCTAACCACACAGAGACCAACATTAATGGCATGTTAGTGCGCTCCTATACCCTGTGAACTGGTTCGTTCGTCCAAATGTGATGTATTTAAATGTGACCGATGACCAGCTGAACCGAATACCTGGTAGATAAAACACGGTCATGTAATATTTCACCACTTCACGAGTTTATGTGGGCAGCATCAATACCCTATCACACAATCAACCCAGTTTGCAATGGATTATGGGATACTGAGGGCCACATTTACAATTTGAAGGCTGTTTCCTCTTAAACAAAACTTTCCGGGCTTGCATCCCTTAAATCCAGTCTTCGAAGGACGCAGCCCCTGAATTTACCCGTCTCTAAGTCCCGCCCCTCAAACACAGACCGGCCAATCATAGCCTAGAATCGACTATACAGTTCTGTTTTCAGGCTGGTTTTGGGGCAGGCGGTGCAGCATCAGTGTCACTGAGATGCAGTTTAGATGTACACTGTTTAAAACAAGATGAATAGGTTATCTGCTAGTGAGCATTCAATTAAAACTCCCTTTGTGTTGTGATTGAATTTAGTTAGAAAGTGAAGTTACCCCCGGGCAGGATGATTCAGTTAAGGAACAGAGAAAGAGAGGTAGCCAACCCAATACCGAGAAGGGATTGTAAGAGAGCATAAACTGACACAGATACAAATCCAGGAAGACAGTAGAGTAAATGAATAAGAGTGTGTGAGAGTCTTTTTTTTTTGTTTTGTTTTTTGTTTAGTAGACTCGCCATTAGTGATATGACACTGTTCGCAGGAGGTGTGAGCATATGCTGGCAGTGGCTACCGCCTCACTTCAAAGGCAATCACCGCAGTAAATAATTAATAGTAGGGGGTGCTCATACCACCTTGGGCTTTGCGCTGACAGAAAAGGCCAGGGATCTCACACCACTCCGCAGTATCTGTTTGTAGCACCGAGTATTCTGTCGTTCCTGTGGCGCTTGTGTAGGCTGGACGGCTGCACTCAGCTGCTCTACTCCCCCTCTGCTCTTTAACAATTACTCTCAGGTGAAATATAAGTGGAGCTGTTTGCAAAATGTTTCTCGTTAGACCATAATGATCATTTTTAACTATAACAGCTGATGTAAAATATGCAATAATAGCGTTCTGTCTTTGAATTGTAAGCTTTTTTTTTACATTTTTGGAATGACTTATGAATGCTGGACAAATGTATCTCCCAGGTTCTAATCACACAACAGCACAGGCTCATGTGAAACCTCCTCGCCGACTAATATGCCACTTATGTACAGACAATGTTGGACTGATTTTGCTGACAGCCCTGCAACCCTCTCCACAGGCAATGCCAAAGCCCTTACTGTTCTTCTCACCTTGCTCGCCCAGCACCCCTCTCTCTTGTCATGCCTGAGTGTACATTTATGTAGCAAGCTTGCTTTCACAGGCCAGTGATACAGCATTGCCCCAAACACTGCACCAGCCTCCAGCACAAGAGCGTAATCAAGCAGGAAATAGATGTAAAAGAAGACTGAGACAACCAGAGCTCAGACAGCTGAAATCTCTCCTTGTTTATTTGTCTGACAAATAGTGGTAATGAGGATTTCAACTGAGAATTCAACCACACAAAATTGTTCCCCCTCTCCAGGTTTATAAGCACCTTTTTGTCAAATAACACATTTCTGGCGAGTAAGACCACCTCTTGTGGCATTGATAACAGTTTCAGCAGTGTTCTTGATGTTTTTTTGCATTTTGTGAGACTGCAGACTGATTGCGCTGATAGAAAGGCTGCCGCTCTTTGTTGACATGCTTCTTAAAATTTGAAAAGGCATATGTAAACAAAACTGCAGCGTGAGAAGAGGTTCCTGGATTTGGATTTAACTTTGCTTTCAGTTTGCAGTTTCACCTTATGTCTTTTTTGTCTAATTTCACTTTGTTACAATCTTTTTTTTTTTTATGATATGCTCTTGCTACAATAAAAATCAAACAATTTGCAATTGAATATTGAATGAAGATCTCCCCATACAATATTATTCAAGGAAATAAAACAGTCTTGTGAAGATTGGAGAGTAAATTGAAAATTGTATTTCATGGAGATTAATAATCAGGGCAAAATGATTATGTTTCATGTCCTTGCAGCACTGGAGTATCACAATCTGAACACCTCCATTGCTACGAGAGACTTCTGGGTTATTACTGGTAGGTATATCATTCTTTCTTGTTTGTTTTTTTACGAACTAATAATAAACACAACTTCTTCTGGGGCAACTTACAGTATGTATGTTATGTTGTATGATGCACACATTGCAATGCTGCTGTGAATTGTCTGTCTACTCATGAATCTCCATCTCCATGTTTCTTTCTTTACTACTTCACGACACAAAAAACACCTGGAACAGGATGTATGTGAAAGAAATGTACTTTTACATTTGTGACTTTAGGGCACTATTTATGGAAAGTTAAACACATCTGTGGGGCGACTGTGGCTAAAAAAAACAAAAAACTCTCCAAAAAAACCGGCCTCACAGTTCACACCCTGGTGTACAAGGAACACATACAGCAATACAAACTGGCTCTAAACTCTGCTCGCTCCACCTACTACTCTGGCATCATCCGCTCTGGTTCGACCAACCCCAAGGTCCTCTTCTCCACAATAAACAAACTCCTCAAACCTATGGACAATCTCTCCCACTGCAGAGAAATGCAACTCCTTTCTGACGTTCTACAAAGCTAAAATCGACACCATCTACAACCAACTGGCCACTTCCAGCCCCGCTTTGTCCAACCCTGTATCTACAAATCCTCCACTAACTGACCGGTCACTCTTCCGATTCTCTCTCATCTCCCCCTCGGATCTCAATAAATCACTCTCTGGCATGAAGACTCCGACCTGTGACCTCGACCCTATCCCTTCCACTTTAGTTATGGCCTGTCTCCCGGCCCTCCGCCCGCACCTCCTCTCTGTCATCAACTCCTCCCTGTCTACTGGCTCCGTCCCTCCCGCCCTCAAACTTGCCTCAGTCACACCCATCCTCAAAAAACCTGGCCTTGACCCCGACATTCACAACAATTACTGACCCATCTCCAATCTCCCTTTTCTGTCTAAAATACTGGAACACACTGTTGCCCATCAACTGAAAACTCACCTGGACTCAAACCAACTGTATGAACCATTTCAATCCGGATTCAGATCTCATCACAGCACAGAAACTGCCCTCATCAAAGTCACCAACGACCTCCTCCTCTCCTCTGATGAACACTCCCTCAACATCCTGATACTGCTCGACCTCAGCGCAGCCTTCGACACCATCAACCACTCCATCCTCCTTTCCCATCTCGAGTCCTCCCTCCACATCACTGCCACAGCCCTCTCCTGGTTTAAATCATACCTCTCCGACCGTGAACAGTTCATCAGCATCAACAAATTCAAGTCTGACACAGCCCCAGTCTCTCAAGGTGTCCCCCAAGGTTCAGTACTCGGTCCCCTCCTCTTCATCCTCTACCTGCTCCCCCTTGGTGACATCATACGCCACCATGGTCTCCAGTACCACTGCTATGCTGACGACACCCAGCTCTACATCTCCACCAAATCCATCACCCCCACCATCCACTCCACCATCACCAACTGCCTAACAGATATAAAAACCTGGATGCAAGCAAACGTCCTCAAACTCAACACCGACAAATCTGAAGTCCTCGACTGGACTACTGCAACAGCATCCTGTACGGCTCACCCACCAAAATCATCAATAAACTACAATACATCCAGAACTCAGCTGCCCGTCTGCTCTCCCACTCCCGCACCAAAGACCACATCACCCCAGTCCTTCAAAACCTCCACTGGCTCCCCATACAGCAAAGAATCCAGTTCAAGATCCTCCTCATCACTTACAAAGCCCTCCACAACCTTGCCCCTTCATACCTTTCGAACCTCCTGTACCATCACACTCCCAACCGCAACCTCAGATCTGCCGATGCCAACCTCCTTACCCCCCCTACTCTGTCCAAGCATCGGACCTGGGGGACAGGGCCTTCTCCGTTGCTGCCCCCTCCCTCTGGAACTCCCTGCCCCAACACCTCAGACATTCTTCATCACTCGCCACTTTCAAAACTGCACTTAAAACTCACCTATTTAAATCTGCGTTTGACCTCTAAAGTCAGTCATGTATGTTTTCTTTCTTTCTTTTCATGTTTATTTTATTTATTTATTTTTTTTTCTTAGTTATGTCGTATATTTTGTTCTTATTATAAATGCTTCTATTGTTTCTGTTTTTAACATGTAAAGTGTCTTTGAGTGCCTTTTAAAGCGCTATATAAATAAAATGTATTATTATTATTATTAAGTGGAGAGCAGGGCCATCCTTCAATCAGAAGATCGGCGGTTTGATCTCCGGCTCCGCTAGTCGCATGTCGATGTGTCCTTGAGCAAGACACTTAACCCCAGAAATTGCTCCCGTAGCTGTGCCTACGGTGTAGAAATGTGATAGAATCTGAATTTTAAGTTGCTGTGGATAAAAGCGTCTGCTAAATGACTGTAATGTAATGTAATCTGCTTATGTTTATAATGTAAACTGTCTCCTTTCACTGGAGCAATGAGATGCACCTGACTCCTGGATTGTTTATTATTCAGTATTTCCATATATTCGCAGCAACATGAATACATTTCACAGTTTTCAAGGGAGCACACACTGCTGTACTGTATAATGGATGGGCTTTTGAGATCGGGCTGTGTGGCTCTTAACCCTGCACTTACTGCAGTGAGAGGCAGCGTCAGTTCAAGGTCATCCCCTATATAATGGGATTTACTCACACTGAACAAGATGTACAACCAGGATTATAGCTTTTCAACTGTTTACAAAAACCAAAGAGATTAAAGTTGCATTAGGGGATGTTTGACTAATAGGGGACATGAAGACTCCAAAACAAGCTTTCAGGAAGCACAGGCCGGATATGTCGTTAGTTTATGAAGTTGTTCTGGCGTATAACAACTTGCCATCAGACACAGAACAACATGAGCTTCCCATAAGGCTGTTTTAGTGCTACTGCTCGGTTGGATGACATAGTTATTGTACACAGTAACTATTATTTTATATTAAATGGGACATATACTGGAATATGAAAACGGAGGATGCTCAAATGTGTTTTCATCTCACACACGTATATTTCTAATTTTGCCCCCAGCTCTTCTTTCATGGTGTGACTCTCTTTGCTTTCCAACTATTTAATTTCACTCTTAACCACCATATGGCTATCCTCTTTCTTTTGTATACATTTGCAGTGATCCAGGATGTGGATAACGCCAGTTTAGAGGGACAGTACCAAAGCTTTGCCAATCTAATGGAGCAGCGGCTGGCAGAGCTGTTTGTGCTGGCAGGTCAGCAGGGCACTCGTTTCAGACGAGCCACGGCTGTAGGCAGCTACACTGTCCAGGTAAGAAACTGGCACGGCAGCCCATGAGGAATGCCAAGTCTAAGACCAAATAGTCTGCAATGCTAAGGGTTCAAGAGTGAAAACAGTAAATCATTCTTATTCTGATGTTTTACCGGAGCGCCCTGGCTTGTTAGTCAGAAGTCTAATGAACACATTAATCCAATTGGCTTATTTCTTAAAGTATGAATATTGCATGAGGTGTACACTTTGATGTGCCCTCATCTGCACATGCTTGCATGATTACTTTTGGTCAGCCCTTGTTAATTAGGGAGCTTCTAAGCTCATCATCTGCTAATTGCTCATCAAAACAAGCTAGAGGGTGAATGTTTTACTAAACAAGTACTCTCTTCTGTCCATGTAGTTTTTCCTCTCACGAGACTCTGCGCCTAAATGCATGTTTTTTGCTTTTGTTTTCTGAAATGCAAGCCTCTTCATAACAATGAAGCCAGTCATTCAATAACAGCTGATATTGACTTCTTATCTAATCAGATGGTGAGTATCCGTAGGTTGTCAGTGTTGAAGAATCCAGCAGAGATGACCTACTATGTCCAGCACAATGGCGTTCCTTTATCGGGCACGTCAGCTGCCAAGGTCCTGAACACAGTGGATTCTCAGACTATGGCGCTCACCCTTGGCTACTTTGTCCAGCTGCAAGCAGAACGTAAGCACCGAATCTTTCCAGCATTTAACAAGGAGGCAAATAGGCAAAAACAATGACTGACAGACATGCAAACCAAAACACATGACTGGGGTGAGGGGAGAAGAAGAAAAGGTTGAGAAAGCTCTTTGCTCTCTAATCTCTCTGAAATGCTCCAGGCAGGACCCTGTCTGTTTGGGCTGCAGTCTGCTCACTGCTAAGAGAAAGGGAGAAAGGGTGCCGTGGGGGAGACAGAGCTGGTCAGGAGAGAGGGGAAGACAGAAAGAGGCTGTGCTGCATTCTCTTATAGATTGTTGCCTACAAAAGCTGAATCAGGCACACTGTATCTCAGGTTGAGCTGCACGCAGTGTCACTTAGCGTGTGTGTAACGGATGCTTCTGCATGTATTAGCAGGAAAAGTGTGCTGTATTATACTTCCAAATGGATTAACTGTTATCATGTAGTGTTTAGAGTCCACTGGATGCCATGTAATGAAGTGATGATGGTGAAAAAGTATTTATTTTTTCAGCTGTGGTCAAGAACCCTCCTAATAACCTTTGGATAATCGCTGCAGTGTTGGCCCCCATCGCCGTAGTCACACTCATCATCATCATCATCACAGCTGTGCTGTGCAGGAAGAATAAAAATGACTTTAAAGCCGATGCCATCGGCAACCTGAATCCCAGAGCGAAGGTATCTCTCTTTCTTTCTTTGCATACTGTGTAAACATCTGTCTGTATCAAATGATGTTGTAATTGGAACACATTTGATGATCAGTCATTTTTCAAGCTTCTCAGTTGTGATGATTAAAGCTTTTCTTGGTTTTGTTGATGTGATTAGTGATGTTTTATATCACATGTTCAGAATGTGAAAAGAGCAGTTAACTGATGATAAGTGCATAGATAACTGCTGATTAATACATAATAAAGTATGTAATAATCTTACTAATCAACCAAAAAGCTTAGTAAAGATTTAAAAATAACAAAATTGGTAAGTGGTAGTTAAACTCAACTAATGAGTTTATAACGGTATTTTAAAAACTTTTATAAGAAAGTCATAATGCTTTTAATAACCATCCTAAGCAGTCTATAAACTGTTAACAAGTATCTCATAAGTGCTTAAAGATGTCTTATAATCCAACAATAAACGTGTTAATGAGGCTATTATTAACATGTATATAGTCTTATACCCACATATATTGCTAATAAGAATCGTGTAAGGGCTTATAAGGGTCTTATTACCTATTAACTTATGGTTAACACTTATTACAAGGATCTTAATGTATTTATCGTGAGGGTATAGCTCCAGTGGTTCAGTATGTGTCAGTGAGCGATGAGGATCCGCAATGATGAATGTGCAAATTACCTTTGTATACAGAATTGTTGTTGTATGGTTGTGTTGTATTCTGTATTATCTGCATAATGCCGTCTCTACGACCCGTATTAACACATTGGTAGAATCCTGGTTAATCGTGAGACTTCAAGATTAACCACACAAACACACACTGTTTAAAACATTTTCTCTTGTTTTCAGATGGCTTATCGGAGAGATGTGGGCTATTATCACCAGGTACCTCCCTTTCTGTATCTCCTCTCATTACCGATCTGTGTTTTCATCTTCAGGGCTTAACTGTGCCAACAGCGGGATTTGAACGGCATTCTGGGCAGACATCACCTACCTGATACATTTAAATAGACTGCTGTGCTGATGAAAACTAAGGAGTAACAAACCTTTCACAATGAGATTTTCTTGGATGAAAGGCCTATTCTTCTTATAGTAGTCTCCAGTTGACTAAGCTTTACAGAGAATGGCTATAATGTAGATTGTTTTTTCAAGCAGAATGAGTTTGTGTGTATCGACACTTGTCTGTTATGTGTAGATTGAAGATTGAAAACAGTTTCCACCATTGTTGCATCAAGGATTTCATCACAATGTCCTAATCAACGTTATCTCCGCCTTCATGTCTGTTGTTTTTCTGCCCAGCTGTTCTCTGCACTGTTATACATCAATGTAGATAAGGGCAAATGCAAAACATAACACTCAGCACATCCTTTATTTATGGAATTTAATTTGAGAGAAAGTAATCAAATCTTCTATATTAAGCTGAGTAAGCAACTTCAGTGCGACTTTCAGAGCAGTTAATACTACACAACATTTAAAGTCATGCAAAGTCTCATCATATGAAAAAACACCAAGAAGCCTAATTTAATCATCATATGAAATATGGTTGGGTTGCTTCAGACAGACCTTCACATTCTTGGTGAATATCTAGCCACTTCCTTCTAAGTAATGTAAAAGCTAAAGGAAAACTCTTGAAATGCTCAAAGATGGAGTGAAATATTTAAATCAGGCTCTTGCATTGCCTCGTCTATATTACATTCACTGACTGTAAGCTTTCATCACACACCCTTGTTAGAGTTTCCACTTTTGAGACCAGCTACAATAGCACTTTTACTTAGTGAGCAAACTGGATCCAAAGAAAATCTTTACTCTCTATATGTGAGTGTGTGTGTGTGTGTGTGTGTGTGTGTGTGTGTGCTGTAGGAAGAGAGAGGATGCATGTTCTTCAGTCGAGGGAGGATCACATATTGATTTTGCACCACAGCTTTGCTGCATTGAGGACGTGGTGTGTGTCGGACAATTTATGACACTGCAATGAGGGTAGTCTTAAATATTTCATTGTTGGTGTGTGTATTGGTTTGGGGGTTTGAACTGTTTTGGTTCTTTCGGTACACCCGCCATAAAACACTTTGACATCCAGTGTTTGGTAGAACACCATGAATCCTCTTCCACCTTCTTCCTCCTCCCTCTTATCCTCAAACGTTTAACTTCACTACAATATTTCTGTGACAGTCTGCAGATCTCATCTTGTCACCGCCCACTGCGAGTCATTTATTCGACAGGAATTTGGATGAAAATGAAAAACAGCCTTCGCTGTGCTTATCTGTTTGAAGGCAGAGTAGAGCAGTAATCCCAGTTCAGTTCCTTAAGTCCTCTGGACATCTCCTAATTTGAGGTGTCTGTTTACGTGGTTGGCTAATGCATTTCTCTTTGTTTCTCCTCTCAACGTTATGTCACTGCAGGTATGTGAATAGAAATGAATCTTACTTAAAACTGTCTCTTTTGTCTTTTTTTATTTTCACTCAACACTTGTCCATCAGCCGGTCCAGGGTTTTGACTATGCCAAGCAGCACCTGGGCCAACAGGGAGGGGATGAGGAGACCCTGCCTGCCAGTCAGGATACCTTAGTAATGTCTCTACAAATTCGGGACACACCGCTTTCACTAGAAAAGGCCCTGCAGCAAGACGGAACTGCCAATAAGAAAAGCCTCACCTCTGACAAACACAAGAGGTATCGTTATATCTACACACATTGACCTCCTCATGTTGTAATTTGTATCACCAAAACTTTAATACTACAATAGTGGTATTATAAGTAAAACAATATTGTAACATTATTTAGATGATGTTGGCCTCAGAATAAAGTTTAAATATGAGCATCTGGATGTACTGTAGGTGAAGCAATAACATCTTGATATTCAGTCAAACAGAGAATGTGATTCATTTTATTTTGGTGGTAAGATTAAACACTGTGCATGAATATCACTCAGTGCTGCATGGTGGTGTGGTGTGGCTAGCACTGTCGCCTCACGTCAACATGGACCCGAGTTTGATTCCGGGGCTGAAGTTTGCATGTTCTCCCCATGTCAGCAAGGATTCTCTTTCCAAAGGCAGATCAGTTGATGACTCTAAATTGCTTGTGGATGTGAGTGTGAATGGTGGTCTGTCTCTGTATGTCAGCCCTGCGATAGTCTGGCGACCTGTACATGGTGTACCCTGCCTTCCCCCAATGTCAGCTGAGATTGTCTCTGGCCCCCCAGAGACCCTAAACAGGCTAAGTGGTTACGGATAATGCTATCAAGGACACAAAACACAAGGAGATTCATGAATTTTAATGGATCATGAATGAAAAATTAAAAAAAAAAACTTAAATGCTTTTACGTGAGGGTTGTACAAAGGAAAAGCCATGTTTTTACCTCAATCAAAGGTATTTATTCTCTGTACAGCAGCGGTTAGGATATCTCAATCTCAGTCTACTAGGCTCAGCTAAGATTTAGATTTTCATGCTCAGTTTTCATTAGTCTGAGCTGTATTTGTCTTATTAACACGTCAGCACGTTTGAAGGAAACATGTTTCTTCCGATCGGCTGAAAGATCTCAATTCATTCAAACATATTTCAAGGTTTAACCTTCAGGCAAGCATCATCCCAAATGGTAGTACATGCTTACAGTATACAGTGTGTGTTATTCTTAACAATTGCACGACTGCTCTGTCAGAAAGCTCCTGGGTCGCATAGAGAGAGGCAGGGCGATAAAACACAAAGATCCCTCCAGCTCTATTGTTTGTCCTCATTCTACCCTGATGCTGAGTGATAGGCGGTAATTAACAGAGTTCTCTATGTGGGCAGGTGAAATGGACCATTTACCTTATCTGACAGTCAGAAGGGCTGTTTCGGAAATGAATTGCCATGTTAAATCATGCTAAATTATTTAATCGAGGAACGAAAAAGGGCGTAATTTTTCACAGCCACGTTGGATAATGAGATCAAATGAAATGTTTGTGACAGAATAGGAAATCTATAGACTGGAGGTCCTGCAGTAATGATTTTGCAGACTCCTGAGGCAGCAAAAGTTTTTAATTTGTTATTCATCAAACTGTTGGTCCTAAAGTTTCTCTCCTTGTTATGAGACCGAGTCTCAAGTAATCATTAGTAACTATTAGTAATGTCTAATAGTTTATCCGGTTTTCAACCAGCCATGTGCTATTATCCCAGGACAGGTCTGATTTTTCAGGCACACAGAGATATTAACATCATAAATGAAGATAGAAGTTAGTTATTCTGTGACATAGTATGTAATACATTATTCAAAAATTAGCTTGAGCCTGGTTGACTTTAACTAGCTGCACAAAAGTAGCCTCCATCTCCAAAACCACAGATCTCATTATGAGATGATGAAATCTGGAACAAGTGCAACTTGATTTTACAGTAGCACTTTACTTGAATCCAAGACCATTGGCAGACGAGCAAATCATTTAATCACAGTACTTGTTGACGTACAGCCGGTTTGAAGTGACATCTGTCCCAAAATGCCTGTTGAGTCTTGCCAGATGATGCTGTGAGGTTACATTTTCATAGGTTACTGTTTTATTTACCTTCAAAAAGATTTAGATAAGATGACTTATAAATTCAGGGCTAGAATGCTGTTATGTATGTTGGATACAAACACATTTAAAAACATGCATGCTGTACACAATCTTGTCTAATTTGCTTCTTCATCAATCCCTTCAGTTTTACACACAGGTCACACATCTGTTAGACTCGAAACACCGTCACTGGATCAAACATACTATCCTCTCAAAGAGCCAATGTAAATGTAGCATTCTGTACACCTCAATTAATTATTACACACAACACGTCTTTGACTGGAGCACGGAGCTAGCGCTCTGCAGCACTGCCTCGACGAGAGCAGGGAGGGCAGCCTCTGTTCCTCTGTCTCTCTTTGCTGTTATCATTTTTACCAGACAATTAGGGGATAGACCACGGTGCTTTGATGTCACTGTCAGCCTCGTGGTCCTCTGAGCCGCTGCTTGATCAGCTGTAATTCCAACTACGGTACAGCTTTTTGAAGCTAGTGAAACAAGAATTGGATAAAGCAATGGTTTGTCCAGTTAACGCAAGAACTAGTCTTGCTTCACGCTAGACATGAACGCACACTGGTTTTGAAACATGCATGGCACATAAGTAAGAATACAGTAATGTAATAAAGACATAATGGTTTATTAATGAGCATGGAGGTAAATGTACAAAATACACACATAAAAGGGAGGGAGAGGGAAAGGTGACGTTGTTTAAGGGAGGGATGACATAACCTGGCTGAGAGCCCAGCTTCCGGAGAGCTCACCGCCTTTTCTTGTTGCTATGGTTACTTGCAGCAAGTTGCCGAGTGAGGACGGTTCCGTCATCAGCAACGAATCAGAGAAGCTGAATTCCAGCAGGAGCTTGACAGTGCTGAAAGTCACAGCACAGCAGAAACCGACAAAGGAGGAGACGCGCAAAAGGGACGGTAAGAGTCGCACACTGATGAAAAATAACAAATAATGTATTCTACGAGCTCCTTTACAGACAAGGTCAGGCGTGTCACAGATGCCAAAAAAATCTTCTCCCATTCTCTTTGTGTGTGAAGCCCTTTTCCAGTCTTTGTCTCTCATGCACACAGGTACCCTAAGAGAGATGCACTGCAGCTATTTCTTTTTTTTTGCAGCCAGAAAGGTAGCCACTCAGCAGTAAGCGGAGATGGACACGATGAATATGCATGAGAGAGAGACACTCTGCTGGCATGATACAGTGTGTCAGATTATTTGATCCTGTGACACTCACTCACACATTGACTCATGCAAAAATGCAGAAAGACCATATGAAGTCAAACATCTTGTGCTCTTCTGAGATGCAAAAGCAGTTTAAGTAAAAGCCGTTCGGACGTTGAACAATTAACTGTTCTAGTGTTCACTGTCACTAAATATCCCACATGTGTTGGGTGTGAGTTACCAATTTATATACCGTGCTTGTAAATCAGATCGAGCTTGCCAGATTATGATTTTCTTAATGGATTGAATAATTCATCAGCTGAGTTAAGGGAAACTAGAATTGAATCGAGTTTGTCTGATGTCAGATAAGAAATGAAAGTGCAAAGTCTGTTCCTTTCATCTATCACAGAGATGCATTGCCACAACCTTTTGCAGCCAACTCTATCTTTGTGATCTATCCTCTCCGTCCACTACTTCATTTGCTGACACAGACGACGGATGTTTGACATAACCCCACATTGTCAGCCACAGAGAGACAAGGTGATGAGAGGGTAGGGGGGGGGGGGGGGTCAGACAGAGAGACAAAGAGGGAGTGTGACAGTTTGTTCCCCTTTTGACTGACAGTGCAGTGATTAGAGGTATTTGTAGTCTCTTTGTGAGTGAACTCCCTCTCTGTTCTTCAGATCCATATGACACCTCCTCTGGCTCCCTGCAGCTCATCTCCATAAAGCCCATGGCGTCTCAGCCCCACTACACACACCCCGCATCCTCTGACCGCAGCCAGGACTCAGCCCTCGTCAATGGAGAGGTGATGCACATGCACAAATCCATTTAGAGAGACACAGACTTGCACAGACTTGCTTGAACATTAATTTGTGTTAAAGACCCTAAATGTTCTGTACCAACTTCTCATAATGAGCGACAAAGATGAGATCACTATTTTGTTGCAAAAGTTAGAGTAGTTTTGATCATTTCATGTGCAAAACTTCTTCATTTGTGTTTTTTGTTTTTCTCACTGGTTTGAAGTGAACAGCGCTCTTTTGGAAAAAGGTTATATGTCTGTGCACCAATCACATTTAAGCAGCATTTGAATCAAAATGTAATGATCAGATCAGATCAGATTAAACCACAACCACACATACACTTTGAATGTGAACCTCTTAATATTCATAACTAAAGAGGTTTCCAGGGCTTTCATCAAACATATAAAATAAAATATAATTTTCTTTCCGCCCTTTTAATTTAGTTACATGGCTTGTGGCATTGTATGATTTCATCTGATGACGCTCTAACGACCACATAAGAATCCAATCAGGTGTTTAAAAAGTACAATGTTTAAGTCTCGAAAGGGGCATTTCCTTTGCCGTACTGTAATTATAAAGATATTCCTTCCATTTCAATATTTAATATATAATTTTTTCTATATATTATAAGCTCATCCAAGTGTTATTCTCCAGAAAAATATATAAAACAATCTGTACAGTAAAGTGACTGTTATCACTTGTTCTGCCTGTGGTAACTGTGAACAGCTTCATTTTCAGAGCTTATTTTTCACGTGAACCCTCTGATCTTTCACATCCCTTTTAAGACAAAGCAGAATAATACCGCATGTGCCTGTTTGTGTTCCGATCTCCTCATGTTTCAATGCGTCCTGCGCTTTTTCTCTCTCCAGGTGAACTTGGCTCTGAAGCAGAAGTCAGACATTGAGCACTACAGAAACAAGCTGAGACTGAAGGCTAAGAGGAAGGGCTATTATGACTTCCCCTCCACGGACGGCAGCGGCAGCGGTCGAGCTGTGGTGCAGAGACAGCGGCACGGCCATGAGAGGGCAGCCGGTGAGCATGGCAGACCACTGGAGCCTGATGATGAGCGAGGTTCCACTTATGTCAAGTCTCACAGGAGGTGAGGGGAGAGGGGAAAAAAGCAAGTGGAACCTGGGTTTGGCTGAGGGTAAACGCAAGAGTGTGAGGATACAATTTGAGCAATCACAAAGAGATGCAAGTGACATGACAGTTCATATTGGGGGGTTGGGTTTCTAACCATGGCCAGTTATCCATCCCTGCTGCCCCCTTGCTGTGCCTAATTAGCTTATAGATATGTAAATCTGTCTCCTCTAATGTTTTCATTATCCTGTCTTAGTTGGCAGTGAGAGACCCATCAGGCCATCCTGATTAATTTGATCCAAGTTCTGAGCTTCCATAATGGAGATAAGAGGATTGGCATGGTGTTCCTAAATGCTGGTTCTGTCCTGCTTCTGCTTCACAGATGCACATGAAAAAATGGAAGGAGTCTTTGGTTATTACAGACTCAGATCACGCATGAGATTAACATGTAGCTGCAATAGCTGCCATCAGAGCGGAAATCAACATTTCAATTGCGGCTCGTGTGTTGACTCAGAGTAGCAAAGGGTTGAGTGGTTATTCTTATATCCCACCATGGTGAGCAAGATAAAGATTTGAGCAACTCTTTGCTGTTGAGTAGTGTGTGGCTGATCACTTACACCAACATGCTTTGCCTAACTAAGTGATCATTTCAAAGCAGGCTTGCTGAAATGCACCTTGTCCTTTGTCATTGATTGTACATTGTAGTTGTGTTTTACTAGATGCTTTATCAGTATTGAATGTGCTTTGCAACACCTCAAGCAGATCCTCATACCTGGCATATGATACATCATTATTATTTAAACTGTTGATTCAGCTCTCTTACTTGATGTCCTTATGAGATATCCTAACATATTGATTGTATTTGGTCTGCAAAGCAATTTTATGTACCTTTTTTTGGTAACAGGGAATCAGTCAAATATACAGTACATTCCCCCACTCTGTTCTCTACCCCTCCTCTCCCACTTGCCCTTCACTGGCAGGCACCCTGAAACTATGGCTGAAAAGTAAGAAAGCTGAATTTAAATGATTTCATTTTTTATTAACTATACCCCAGGTCTGATTTGTGTTAAATCTTACCCTATACTCCAATTGACAGGCACTCCCAAGTAGGGCAGCCGGCCTATCGCAGCAGACAGAGTCTGAGCAGTCCCAGTCCTGGAGGAACAGAGATGGACCTGCTTGTTATGAGGGAGAGACCCAGAAGAGGCATCCGCAACAGCGGCTATGATGTGAGTCACATGTTGTCACCAACTGACCCTGTCTCCCAACAAGATGCAGTTAAACTGGCCAAAATAGTTTACCATTTTCAAAACATAGCACCTACTCTAGCAAAGTGATTGACAGAACACCTTGTTGCTACTTTTTAAATAATATCAGGTACTATTAGATTGGTTTTGAACTTATTATCAAGTATTAATGATGTGCTGGGGATGAGCTATTCTGTACTGGGAAGTTAGTTATGTGTGTTGTTATTGTTACTGTTTTGTCATCTATTTTGTTTATATTGTAATTGCTTTTATTGTTTCTGTTTTTACCTTTTAAAGCGCTATACAAAAAAAATGTATTATTATTATTCAAATACAACTATTTATATGCTTGGTACCAAATTCAGATGATAGTAAAAAAACAACCTAATGCCACTGTTTTAAATCTAGCATGATGCAATGTAAAAATAGAAAGGATCATTATCAATCACAGCTTGTCAGTTGAAATATGTGCCTTATTGACCAATTTAAGTCACTGTGCAGACACTGAGCTGGAAATCAAACATATTCTACTGAAATGTGGTAAAAAGTATGCCACAGCAAGAAGTGAAGTGGTTCATTCATAATTAAGAGTTAAGATTTATGAAGTCCTGTCGTTTTGATATGTAATGCGTCTCAGGATGGCTGGTTTATGCCTCCACACTGTCATTGTTCCATTAGGGCTCTGTGCATGGCTCTTTCTGTCATGAAGCCACAATACCTAATGTGAGCGCCCGAGAGTAATCGAGCAGACCGTTCCTAAAAAGTGTTTTCATTCTGAGCTGTACTTTTGTAAAAAAAAATATGAGCAGAGGTAGAAATATTTCACTGACCTGCCGGCCATTTTGACCGGTCACAGCAGGACAAACATTGGTCTAACTGGCTCAGGTATTGTGCCTGCTCATTGGCATGGCTTCCTGTGACACTTACATGGTAAATAGATAAGTTATTATATGGACCTGTGCTTTTCCTACTATTGCAAGTCAAATGTCTGCTAAGAAAATCTTGTGCATTTGATACCGATGTATCAGACTATTGGGACGCCAGGGTGGTGCCATGAGCAAAATGCTACATGTTTAAGCATAACAAACTTCAGCAGACTCTTGACAAGCACTACAAATTGACATCATCCAGACAAATAGTAGCTCCTTGATTGTGACCACCCATTGTCATGATTCTTGGTCTGTTTGTATTTGCTGTGTGGTCAGACTCTGTTAAGCCAACTGTTCAGCTCAGTTTGAAATATGGCACAATACAAGCTACAAAGTCCTTTTACAGAACTCCTGGCCCTGTTGATTAGAATGGGACTAGTGTGGCTGCAGGCCCCATCACTGCAGATGCAAGCCTCTGCCGTTCCGTGTTGCAGGGCGGGCTGATTTATGAGGTGCACTACACTAGGTCTCCTGTGGATGCCCTCTATTCGCACAGGAAGTAGGGCAGCCTCAACTTGTATTCATTTATCACTGAATATAAGGACTGAATAGATGGAAACAGACGCCGGGAGATGGAGAAAGAGTACAGGTTATGGAAAGATGGAGACTTTCACAAAATGTGAGAAAGAGGATGGAAAAATGGAGTGAGATAGCAGGCAAATAATGAGGGAAATTCAATGAATATACATGGGAGACAGAATGACGTTTATACCGTATATACTGTAGTGTAGATAAGAAAAGAGAAATAAAAAGGGAAAATAGCATGAGCACACATATTATATACCTCCAGCAACTACTTGGATTGCTTATAATTAAAGTACAGGTTAGCACTCACTGAAATAAAAACTGCCTGGTTCTGGCTGAACCTACTGTGACCAAGCTGGATTAAACTCCTCCAGCTGACTTGTCTCAGAAACAACATGAAACAGCCTCTTCTTCTTCTTCACTCAGTCAGCACCTTGTCAACAACCCACTGAGAGAATGACAGGAGACATAATAGAACTTGTTACTTTCCAGGATTCTCAAGGTGCATCTCTTGATATCTTGTCAATCAGTGAGGAGGGGATTGATTTTCTAATATTGGTCCAGGTGTAAATCACAACATGCCGCCCCAGGCGGCAGCTGCTACAGATTTACACACACAAGCCATCACCATTGACTTTGGGCGCTTTACTTAAACATTTTGTCCAAGTTTCATGTCCTTTTTTCTTGTATACTAAAAAATGGCTTATACTGTTTCTATGTATTGTGTGTGTTGAGTCTCAATGTCTTTGCATATGTTTTAGACTGAGCCTGAGTTGATTGAGGAGACGAATGTTGACCGTCTAATGGGGCCACGAGGATTTCTGTATGGTCAGGGCTTGAAAGGCCACTCGGAGACGTCCACTCTGAGCTCACAGCCGTCCATTGATGAAGTGCGACAGCAGATGCACCTGCTGCTGGAGGAGGCATTCAGCCTGGCTTCAGGGGGGCAGTCCACATCCGGAAGGCACTCCCATCACCACCACCCACCTCCTGACCGCTACAGTCCCGCACCGCCTCCCCTCCCCTACACCGACATGGTGACCAGCGCCCCGGGTACAATGAACTGTGGAAGGGGAGGCTTGCAGTGGGTACCATCCTACGGTGCAGAAATGTATCAATGCAGCCTGCCCAAACCGGTAAGTGGGATGAGATTATTTCCCCTCTCTTAACAACTGTGTTAGAGTCTTTGTAACCTTAAATGCCTTCCACTATCTGTTTAAGGCCTTTCGCTTCACCCAGCTTCCTGAGATGGCCATGGGCTCTCCTCCCCCTTTACCGCCTCGTAATGGACCCCCTCCTGGGACCTCCTTAAGACGGTATGTCTGAGTCGGTCTCACACACACATACATACACACACACATTCCGGCAGACACAAGCATACACACACTGTCTGTAGCATCTCGAAGCCCATCAAACAGTCCACATTTTCACATTCAAATTCATGTTTAGGGACTAGATATTCACCAGGTACTGTGCTGTGGCCAGGGTCATTTAAGGCCTTGTTTAAATTTGAATATTGAACTAGTGCATTGAGAGATGGCAAGAATGTTAATAAGGTACTGTGTTTTCCACATAGAGTGTCTGCCATCTAGTGGTACTGGCCAAGTATTTCAGTAACTCTACGTTTATGTCCAATCTTTGTCCAACTTAGTTCCACTTCTGACTTGGGGCCTAAGGCAAGGAGCTCAGCGACATCTGTCACTGAAATGCAGAGTCAACATAACGACAACCCATATGGGCCAACAACTAGAGCAGCACTTCCATCTATCACTGCAGAGCAGCCTGTGTCCAACTACTCAGGTAAGCATATGAGTAAAAAATAATAGTAATTTACTTTATTTGTATAATACCTTTCATACAGGAACTGCAGCACAAAGTGCTTTACAATAAAGCAAAAAGACACAGAATGAACATAAAAGAAGGGATAAAATGCCATAATGGAAAATTGGAATGGAAAATAAAACCCACTGAATAGTTATAATAATATGAAGACTGGTACCCATATGTGCAGCATTCACATACATCAACAGCATCAGAAACGCTTCAGCAGCATCAAAGGGTCTCTGTTTTCTTCTACTTTTCCTACATCAGTGGTGGTGATTTTATTTTGCAGGGACAAAACTCAGAAAGTATTTAACCTCAACTTCACTCCCTACCATTTGGCTCCTAGGCCCCTGAAGTTACGAATAAACACAAAAAAAACGACTTTTCCCAACGGACTCACTAGAGGTTTAGACTTTGAAACCCAAAATTCAAAAGAAACCCACAGTGTGCTTTGCTTCCATGCCAGCATACATTTTTCAAGAATAGTAATAAATACATCCCCTGAAGTACAATCACCAGTGGAAGAATGTGACAGCCTCTCTTCTTTTCTCTGTAGGAAACCCAATAACAGCCGTCTATGCCATCCCAGCCACCAGGCCCGGCTACTCAGAATACTTTGTCTCCACACCAACCACCTCCTACCACAGTCCCTCCTGGATGTCCTACCCACCTGAGCCTGAGGATGTGCCGCCACAGTGGGCAGACTCTGTAAGGAAGCCTATTTTGTTTGCTTAGGAAGCAGCCAATCCTACTAAACAATAAATAGATATAATAACTGAAAGAGGAGAAATGTATAGAGGTAGAGTAACATGACCAGATGTCTTGATTAAACTAGCACGGTTCGTATTTGTCCCCGTGGACCAAAAAATCTTTGTCCGAATAATTAAACCTCAGAAAATAAACTACTCACTATTGTGAAATGTCTTGCAGAAATAGAAAGTAGAAGAGCATGTACAGGTTAAAAAAAGTGCTCTTAACAGAAAAGATGTTCTCTGTTTCTCTCCCTTGCGTGTTAGTGTCGTAAGATTAGACTCAATCAGTGAGAATTATTATTGTAGACTCACAGAAAGTCTCGTAGGGTGTTATTGAAATACCACACCCTTACCTCCTGGTTGTCAGGATATATTTCTCATAACTTCTGGTCACCCCATGGAGCCAAAAAGTGTGCTACATCACTGCAACAGCCAGGGCTAAAAAGGAATAATTACTCTGAAAAATCAGTAGGGAAATATATCTGTCATGGGTAGGTGAGATTGCCTTTCTGTATTTAAACATTGCAGTAGTTGCAGACCATCCCACCATGGCACTGACACAAGTCTGTTTGTGCTCATGTTCCTATCCACCCTCGAACAGGACTGGCCCTCGTTAAATAACAGTCCTCCTACCATCTCCTCTGTTTTTCATTAAAATAAGACGGGTTCAGGTCAGATCTGTTATACATCCATGTGTCCCTCCCTCCCCTCCCATGCACAGGAGTCTCCTTGTGTGTCTGTTTTGCATGTTTCAACCAGATGCCTTCACACAGTGTCATTTAGAAACCATTTGCTGAATTTAAGGCTGGCGTTGAGTGGACACAACAAAATACCGGGGTAGTTGAGCTCATTTCCTAAAAAATAAACCTCTTTTGCTTTTTTGTTTTTGATTTTAATTTAAATCTGACACTTGAAGATTTTGTATCAACATTCACAAGTAGTTCATTTTGGAGTTCAAACACTGTTTGAACCAAAGTCCATTTCAGCATTATACACTCACACAGTAGATCTCCACGCTCATTACTTCCCTGTAATTTTTCTCATTTATAAGGATTTTTCCCAGATACAATTGTTTATATTTTCATTTATCACACATTTAAATCTTTCTAAAATAGTGGTGCAAGAAAAGAAGTTCACTCAGCAAAATAAAAAATTGGTCGCATATACTGTATCCTTCTAATTATCTACTTGGCAGCCTTCATTTTGGTGGGTAGTAATGTTGCGAAGTGGCTTTATTACTGACTTCACGTCTTCCCTGTCTTCCAGGTTCCCCTGCCTGGGTATGTAGAGGCTTTGGCTTTTCCTCATCCTCGCTACCCACAGGGGAGCCCCACCAGGTTGCCCCTGCAGTACAACCAGGCACTGGAGCAGCCACCCACTTCCCCTAGCCCAGTATCCCAGCAAAGGCTGACTCAGGTGGTGAAGGACATGGACAGCATGCCCCTGAGCAGCCTCTCCACCTCTGCACTCGTGCAGGCTATCCGGCTGGAGGTGGCAAAGCTGGCGAAGAAGCAGAACGACGTGTTTGAGTTTTAATTTTGGTTTTAATTCTCCCCTCTTGTATGCAGAAGATGGTTAACTGTGCATTGGTCTTCAACAGAGGTACACAAAGGCGGTGCTCCTTCAGTTTTTTGATGTTTGTACTGTAAAATTAACCACTGATTGATTTTTGTCCACACACCCTTGGTGTATTCCAGCTCCTGAATTTCTTTTTTTTATTTTTCGAAAAAAATGCCATCCTCTATTGATGATGTCCCAAGTAACTACATGCATCTCTTCTTTGTAGATATGTCAATAGGATACACTTAATATGGAGAATATAATTATTTCCAGGTTCAGACATTTCTTTGTGAATCAGAATCAATTGAAAAGAGGGAAAAAGCATTATTGTCTGTACTGAGAAGACCAAATACCAAGTACAAACAGTACACAGTATATATGAGCATGTACAGTATTCAGACATCATCTATCTCATCTCCTTTTATAGACCGTTCTGCCTCAACAAGGCCTCATCACTGGCAGCCGTACCACATCAATCTACCACAAATCCTCCACTTTATTTTCATATCAGATACCAACACCATAACAGTCCTGTTAATTAACAAATGCATTCAACTGAGTATATGTGGATCTGCCTTTTTAGTTGAACCCAATTGAAACGTGAAATCTTAAGTTGCATCTGTGATGATGTAATAACAAGATGGAGATTTTTGCATTTATATATCTTTATCTCTCATATATTAGTTTGGGTGTGCACAAGGTACATTGACTTGATTGACATGGCGTGAAAACTTCAAAACATGAACTTTCAGAAACCCAAATGAAACAGTTGAGTTATTTCATATTTGCACAGAGTAGCAGTTTTATAAGTAGCCCAGTGGTGTGAGGATGCACAGAGGATTCAATGCACATTCTACTCCAAAACCTTTGTCACAAAACAATTCTCTTTGCTCTTGTTAAGTTAAACTATAAACAAGGTTAGCATTGCTTGTTTACTGGCCTTACGACATCTTAATGGTCTCAATGGGTGCATTTCATGAATGAAGACAAAGTTCATGTAAACTACTGACCTAATGAGAGGTCTTACATCAGTACTCCTGTTCTAAGAAGTTTTAAGTGCACAAACCATTGTGTAACATTGTGAATGTCTGCCTAAGCGTCGACTCATTGTACAGTACAGTACTTGTCATTGTTCAGTGTGAACACAGTGTGGAGCACTAATGCACCCTGGAATCATCCAGTTTGTGAGGTGCAAAGTTTGACTATGCTGAGGTAGACATTTACCTTAAAAAGCAAATTGTTTATTGCAAATTTGTTTAAAAACTGCTTCTTCACATTAGGCATCAACATCAATTATGTTTTAAATCATCTACATAGAGCATTAAAATGCAAGAAGCGGTCAAATTAGATGAAACAAAAGACTGCACACATAAATAAAAGCCAATGAGCCTTCCGATAGCTACTGAAATGAAGGAAACTCGTGCTTGCTAGTATTATTCCAGCAGCGACAAAAGCGAGGGAGGTCAACTCTTTAATTAGGGGAAGATCGGGACATTCATGATCCAATTAAGCTTTTTTTGATGACATGATTCAATTAATATCTTGAAGCTGCACATTTGTTTTTTTATCTCAATCACTTAATTGGCCGTCTTAATCAGCTTTGTCACCCTATTTTATTTTGTCTGTTTTTAAAGTCAGACTAAAGCCGCCATACCAGGGCAGTGCACAAAACATATATAAACTATTCAATGAAACGAAACGTCGTCGAGTCATCGAGGACTCGTATTTCACCGTGGCATAAAATCCTTCAATTGTTTAAGGTGAATACTTAATGCAGGATTGCTGGCCTGGGAATGGAAAGTCGGACCGACTGCAGATGAGTACCTGTAAGCCTATAGCAAGGGTGCTGTAATGTGTTTGCATAAACATTGAGATGCTATAGATTGCCTACTTTTACTATATTATTGAAAACCAACATGGAATGCTTTGCTGATTGGTAAAGTCCATGCTGTCATAAGATAGATGGCAGTTGTGACATAAGAAAGACAACTATGAGTGAAAATGCCTTTATATCATTTCCTTTCATAGGACAGTATTGTTATTGCAGCAATCCTGGATGAATTTAGCCTTTTTGCATTATGTTTTTGTAACAAACCCTCGCCCTCTTCCAAGAAATGTTCTTTTATACTCATGCCTGTTGATGCATACGTAGGTATAAGGAAATACTGTTTGTCTTAAACTCAACAAGAACTTTGTTGTTGCTTGTTTTCCCAATATTCCTTTTACCCATTATTCAGAGGAGCACTTAATGTCTTAAGAACTGTACTTAATACAGTTAAACCATTTTTGTGTATACCAGAAGTGAACACCTTTCCACATTCTCATGCTGGATAACTGAGAATACTTGGCGATATTAAATAAAAGGGTTTTATTTGGTTTATTGGTTTAGAAAAATGTATCTATTCCATCAAATGATACATAAAGTGAGCTAAACCTGTGAAAATCTATGTCTTTTTGTCTTCCTGGCAGGTTTCTCATTTCCTTTTTTCATGTGCTTGATCTTGTTATATTTGATGTTACTCCAAGATTGATTTGAAAGTGAGACAAATGGAGAATGAAAGAAATATTAGCCTACATGATTGAAATTAAATAAAAGATTTTATTAGAAGAATCGATCATTAATCTGTGTCTTCAATACCTCTTTTACTTTCTGCGTGACATTTTTTCTGATGAGCAATACCAATAGAATTGAAACGATTGCTGTACTGATGCTCCCCTTCCATAGTCTTCTCTGGTATTTCAGTTAGCCACTTTTATCATTTTGGAACAAATTAGTAGTGGAGGTGATTATTATTGTCTTCTATTTACACCACTCTTCCCTTGCTCCATGAGGCAGAGTAATGGTTGATGGTGAAGGGATACAGAGGTTGGTAGTTGTGTCCCGTTAAATGACCTGCTGTCAGCCATGATGCCAGAGCTTTAATTGAGAAATAAATATCATTATTAGATAAAATGACATGGATAAATACCTTAAAAGCTCGACTTTGTGCAGATTATTTGATCTAAATCTGAAACTAACCAGCCAGCCTCCAGGGGAATTTCATTTAACATAAAATCAAATGATATATGTATAGATAACTGATTTTACGTGTGACCGACATGTGTTGCCAACACCAGTGCCAGAATCGGATTGCCCCATCTTTGTTTGTCTTTTATCCGTGTCTGTGTATAAATCTGTAGTTCAGCATTTTCCCACCAGGGCTCAGCCTAAACCCAGCAAACAAACGTCCCCCCTCAGTGAGAGAAGCATATTGTTATCTAAATGGTAAATAAGTCAGAACTCTTTCTCCCTCTCTTCCAGAGAGAGAGAGGGAGCTGTGCATTCAGCTTGCAGTGTTCACGGTTTGATGGCATTCTTTCAGAGAGTTGTTGATTCTGTTGTGTGTATTTGTTAAGCTTAAGTTTGGCGTGGTGCTGTATCAAAATGCATTATATTGAATGGTGTTTGGAGAATGGTACACAAAAATATTACACCAGAGGTAGACAGTGAGGGATGAGGGAAGTAATAATTAGCAATGTTTGATTGTTCTACTGTAAACACTGTCAACAACCTGGCATTGCTGCTGTCATGATCTCTAAATGCACACAGTTTGCTGTTATCTAATCAAAAAGAAAGTTGTTTGACATTGTTACACTCATGAAATGTGGCTTCATCTGTCACTTATCTTGTTGCCATTTCTAATCATAATTATTATTCACTCTCAAATCAGGTCTGTGTTGAAACACATCAGGAGTTTATCAATGTCATGTGCAATGTTGTCAAGGCAATAATACATTACAGCATTTCTTTCTATAGTTTACACTGCTGCACTTGTGTAGACACTTTTATCTTTGTGCTCCGTTAATCTCTGTGTGTTCTTCTTTCTCAGATAGAGTGTACAAAGCCACAGCCTAATGTGATCTGACTCTTGAGTGCCTATAATCTCTAATAAAGGATAATTAAGTATACAGCCTTCTCTTGTGCAGCACAGGCATTAGCTAATTACCACAATGGTCAGTGCAAGGACAGGTCAAGGAAAACACACTTGCAAATGAGTGAACAGAATCTGACACTGAAAGTGATGTTTCCACTCGCTGCACTTTCACATCATACCCTTAAATGATCCAATGACAACGGATATGCCAAATGATAACATTAAACTCTTCTATACAATTAATTTGATATGGATGAAAATGACACATTGTTTTCCACCGACTGAAGTCTTCGCCAGTGGTGCAATTTTAATATATGAACTCAGTGGGTGATGTATTGAAAGTCAGACTCCAAACCAGACTGACTGAGTCTCATTAACTGAGGTGCCTCTGAACTGCACAGTGGAATAAAACATGAAGATGATCTTATTGCCTGTTGCGCCTCTGCAACAGACGCTTGTTTCAAATGAATCATGCGTGTAGAGTAAATAAAGCTTTGCAACTTTTTCTGTGTCAGGGCAGTTGAGCTCTAAATAGACAAACCTTTTCATAACGGCGGTCTTGTGTGGTTCAGCCTGCTATTTCATGTAATTCTATCGATTATTTCTCTGCCTACATCGGTGCATCTCAGAAAATTCCAGTCCGCATAACTTGTCCACACCTCCTCAAAAAAATGATCACACCACTGCTATGACCTGGTTACCGTGAGTGTAAAACAAGAGGAAGATAACTGTGTGTCCCCTTCAGTCTTCCCCCTCATATGCTGCTCCCTCTCCTCACATTTGTTGCACTGGCTGTTTGAAGACACTAGGGGTTGTCCAAGATACATTTTCATTATTTTTTTGAGATTCTCTGCATGCATGCAAAAACTTATCGAACTCAAAGTTTATTGGATCATAAATTGGTCCTTCACCTGTTCACAACAGCTTTTTATCTCCAGTATGAAATCCCCTTTTGATTTGACCGGTTTGTTTTCTTTTACTGTCTATACACAGACTCTGCAGCACGTCATTTAAAGGCATTCAGTAACAAATGGGTGCTCTCCACCCGTGCACTCACTGGGTGTTTGCTGGCAGGAATGTAAAAATGTAACTCCTCATTTCTCCCAGCAGATTCGCCTCTGAACTTACTCTTCACTGTGGCTTGAAGTAGTAATATTTGTCATTTTTGCTGAATAATACTGATGGAATATTATTGGACCAGGTTGCTCAGGAAAGATTTCACTGTTTAACTTCTGGTAGAGAATGATTCATGATAATTGTTCGCATTTGATATTTAAGCATGATCAGGTATAGCTAAAGTAAAACTAAATCAGAGGTTTAAATGAATACATGTGTGGCATTATGGCTGGATAGGGAGAAGAGACTGAGTGTTGAAGGAAAGCTGGCATGGTTAGTGTGGCTTTGGCATCTGAAAGGAATACTGAAAACCTTAAGCACACACAGTGACAACCCAGTTTAATCGCAAGACCATTAGAAATGTGATCATGGTATGACTTAATTGACAGCTTTCTTTTCTCTTAAAGCTGTAAGCTGTGATGCTGTATGCCTCCCTGCTTGTGCAAGTACATAGGGAATAGGTTTAATTTTGTCTCCCGACAACAATTGACATTTGTATTTTTCTGCCAGTAAAATTAATAGAGTAAGTCAGAACTCAGGAATCCACACAGTATGGCATCATTTATTTACTTTCACATGAATGGATCTCTTTTTTTTCTATGGCAGTTGTACTGGAACCGGGTTCCAGTTAACTCACTGAAAATTAAATCTAAATTTCCTTTCATTTTGTCGGCAAGTGGCTTAAGTGGCCAACCAGGGATTGCGTCCAGTCTAAGAAAAATGTCAAATTGTCGGCTCACTGTGACTTAAGCAAATGGCTGAGAGGAAGCTGATTAACTGTTCATTATGCACAGGTGTGCACACATACACACTCCCACACGCACAAGCTCTCTGTCTTGCCACCACTTTACACAAGACAAAAAAAAGGAACCAAACCAGTAGTGCTTCCGTCTGCCCTGAAGGCCACTGAATTTATAATTCCTCCTGAGTGCAAAACTCTATAAAACTAGGTAAGCCCATTCTCCCATGCTGTCTGCCTCAAGTGTCTGATTTGGCTCAATAGACAGTGAGCCAGCTGTGTATGGGCTCAAGTATTAAAAAGCTCCTGCTGGTGAAGCTATCATGTAATGGCCCTTTAATCCACATCCCTGGTCTAGACTCTTCTCCATCATTTACTTACTGCTTTTACGACTTATCCCTGCTCTGGGATTTTAACTATTTGGCCAAAACTGCAAACAGCAGAGATCTATAGTTCAATAGATCATAGGCCAGTGAGGTTACATTTTGGATTCATTTTAGAACTCGGTTGGAAACTATTTGGTGGTGCATAGCAGGCTGGGTTTCTCCTTTGCAGCTTGGACATGAAATTACAACCCTGCCTCGGTTTTTAATTGAAAGCATCTTTGGCTGTGTGGGATATGCAGAGCTTTGGCTAGAGCAGGAGCAGAAAATCTGGCAAAGCTTCGCTCTCTTATTTGGATTAATATCTCCAACACATGTCTTTGGGGAAATGAATGTTACTGTAAGCAGCTTTCTTTCTTCCTCAAACCTTTTCTGCTGATTTCTTACTTTCTTGACCCCTTCTCCCTCTTTCTGTTGTCCCTCCCATACTCGCCCTCTGTAGATTAATTGCTCAGTGATTCCGTATGATAACTACAGCTGTGAGTTTCCCTACCCAGCTGTTTGAAAGTACAGGAGTCAGCAGGATTTGGCTGCTTGGTCCTCACTTGCCACTTCTTATGCACTCCCTCCTCTCTGTTAGAATTCTCCTGCTCCTCCTTTTGTCCTTTACCCTTCTCACTCATCGGCCTGCTTTCAGTGCAATTTTCCCTGCTGGTCCTGTCATGATGTGGGAAAAAAAGACTAAAAAAGGCCTCCAATTTGACTTTAATATTGCCACACGGATGTTTCAGGGCAAACGCCCTTCTTCAGCGTGTATTCTGGCAATTTCTCAATCAATACACATATAACAAGAATAACATACATACATCAAAACAAGGGCAGCCCCAACCTCTCCAGGAGCAGATTCTCATGATGTAGGACACAAAGAAGAAAACAACACAAATTAGATTCACAGAAACAGTTTAGAACTGGGGATGAAAATGAGCTTTCAACTATATTTCTATATAATGCATTAGTTTTTAAGTATTGAAATTTATTTTCATTATATGTGGTCCCTGGTAAATAAATAATGAACGAATAAATAAATGAACTATAGTTTGTTTATGCTGGTGGGAAGGTTGTCATTAGAACCTTGATGCGGACAAAACAACCGTTTCCTTGATACATTGGAAAATGAAAACAGATTACAGATTATTTCTAATTTGGCAGTTCCTCATTAAAAAGTAAGTGAAACATAGTGACCACACAGTTACTATACCTTTCCTAATATTATGGTAAAAGACTGGAACCTGTGCTTTGTTATTCATAACACGAGGTCAAGTTGCAGTCTGTCCTCGTAAAGCTGTTTCTATATCTGTTCTGATTGTCTAGTTGGCATAAAAACAGGATAAAGATTGTGATCTTACCTGTAGTTTAATACTGTTGCATACACAGATAGGAAATGTGTGCGTCTTCTCTCACACTCTATGAAATATTATATATATGATATTCCTGCACATGCACAAAATATTTCTACAAC